ATTTATAGTTATCCGGTACGTGAATGTTTTTAATTTTAGAAAGAAGATCGTTGGATCTTTAATATAATAAGGATTTTTATTTATGACATTGGAGATAATGTTTTTCAAGAACTTTGAAAGATTTTCGAAGGGTGATTGAATGCAGGAAACGATAGGACGTAGAGGTATGTTTTCCTTGTGTGTTTTAGGTAAACCATAAATTTTTGGTGGAATAGCGTTGTGTATCTTAAGTGATTTTGCTGTATTTGGTGATATATATCCACTTTTGTCCCATCTGTCAATAAGAGCATTATTTCTTTTTTGGAAGATATTGGTAGGATCATTTCTAGTTTATGATATATGGTGTCATCTTTTAAAAGATCATTCATTTTATTGTCGTAATCATTAGATTCCATAATAACGGTTTTGTTAGTTTTTATCAGGCTTTAATACAACTACATTAGGATTTTCCCTCAAAAAGGCTTTTGTCTTTTGAATTTTTTTATGTAATTCTTTATTTTCAAATGAATATTTATTTTTGTTTCTAAAATTGGATAAAATATTACAGCACTTTGTTCTTATTTGATGTTGTGAAGTTTCATTTAAATTAGAAATTGAATTTTCAATCGAACATATAATATTCAGACACAGGAATTTCGTTTTTATTATGAATAGGAACTGCAAAGTTGTCTCCTAAACTTAAAATCTCTTGTACGTCGTTAGGTATTTCGACGGTAGTTAAATTTTCGACCCAAGATCTTTCTAATTTATTTTCAGTATCATTTGATTTTAGAAGTAATTTATTAATCTTTTTGGTGTTCTATTTTTAGTTTTGTTAAAAATATATTCACTCTGTTTTAAACACGTATTCTTAAATGTATTAAAAATATCTGGTGGTAGTATATTGATTAAATTTGATTCATTTTTATTGAGTTGACAGTTTAGATTTTTTAATGAGATAACAGTATCAGTGATTAGTAAATTTAAAACTTGTTTCACAAACAAATTAAAAACATTTGTCTCGAATTTACGTGTAAGGTTTACAGAATTAAAATTGATATGGCTTATATTTATGTTTAAAAAGTTTGGTAGTAAATTACAAGTTTTACAGCGTAAAAGAAAAATTCTCCGGTTTTTTTGGTTGGCTTGTTTTGCTAGTAATTTCTGGTATAATTTCATTTGTAGAACGGTTGATCGTCCGTAGTTAGATTCAATACTACGGTAGTAAGGCATTATTTTTCACCCATGCCAATATATTGTAGTTTTGAGTTTCTTTGAACCGTATTATTTTTAATATAAAATTAATATTTCTTGGGTTAGGTTCAATAAAGATATATTACATGTGGAACTAGATTTTATTTTCCATTGCAATTAATCAACGTTTCGGCAGGAAACCCTTGCCTTTGTCAAGATTCTAAAATGAGTATATATATAAGGACAAACAGATATTGTAAAATATGTATATATATATGACTTACCAAAACGTAAAACGTGACACAGATATTAAACGAACTGACATATAAAAGTTGATATCTGATATCTCATTGTTTACTGTCATTAGTATATAATTATTTTTATATGGGCGTATCGTTGATGTTTTTGAAAAAGGTAAGGTGGAGATATATTATGACTTTAAGAGCTTTTTATGATGTTATATTGTTATTGTTTAAATCAGATTGAAATATATTTTATTTAGGTTTTGTGTATCTTTTTTGTCATTTATTGCGTTGGTGTTTCTTTTTATTTCTATTGATTCGTATATCTCCCTTTTCTTTTTGTTTTTTCTGTTTTTAAAATTTTAATGTTTCAAAGTCAAATTTATGCTTCTTTCCGCTTTCATGTTTTGTGAGCGCAGTGACGTTGTTCTTGTCGTATTTGTGAGAACGAATTCTGGATTGAAGCAGTTGACTGGTTTGACCGATATAGACACCTTCACAGTTTGTACATGGTATCTCGTAAACAACATGTGATTTTTTAAGTTTTGGAGTTTGTGTTTTAAGTTTTGTGAAGTATTTATTTAAGAGGTTGTTGCCTTTGTGGGCTACTGTTATATTATGCTTGGCTAAAAGATTTGTTAGTTGTTCGGATAAACCTTTTATATATGGAAGAGTTGTATAAGTGGTTTTGATACTGTTGGGTTTGTTGTTAGTTGTATTGTTATAAAATTTATTGAGTCTTGATTTGAAAATAGTTTCGATTAGATGTTCGGGATATGCATTCTTTAGAAGAGCATTTTTTGCTTTTTTTATTGCAGTTGGTCTGTATTCTGGATCTGTTAGTTTTATAGATTTATCAGCGAGACTTATAATTACAGACTTCTTATGGGAAATGGATGATGGGAATTGTAGTTAAGATATCGTGAAGACCATGTTTCTTTTGTAAACCACATGGTTTTAACTGTATTGTTAATGCGATGTAAGGTGATATCCAGAAAGTTTATTTTATTATTTTGTTCAATTTCTATAGTGAACTTTAATTTTGGATGGTAACTGTTGAAAATATCTAAGATTTCGGTTGTTTTATTTGTTGGAATAGCACAGACACAGTCATCGATATAGCGGTAGAAGAATGGTACATTAAAATCTAAATGACTCATGACAGATTCTTCTAAGTCTTCCAGAACCAGTTGGGCAATGACACTAGATATGCTTGCACCCATTGCGCATCCATCCATTTGTTGGTATATTTCGTCCTTATATAAAAAGAATATCTTCCAAAAAAGAAATAATGCTCTTATTGACAGATGGGACAAAAGTGGATATATATCACCAAATACAGCAAAATCACTTAAGATACACAACGCTATTCCACCAAAAATTTATGGTTTACCTAAAACACACAAGGAAAACATACCTCTACGTCCTATCGTTTCCTGCATTCAATCACCCTTCGAAAATCTTTCAAAGTTCTTGAAAAACATTATCTCCAATGTCATAAATAAAAATCCTTATTATATTAAAGATTCCAACGATCTTCTTTCTAAAATTAAAAACATTCACGTACCGGATAACTATAAATTAATCTCTTTAGATGTCATTTCACTATACACTAACATCCCAATAAAACTTGCCACTGACATCATTAAAAAGAAGTGGAATGACATAAAAGAATACACTAATATCCCATTGGAAGAATTCCAATCATCTGTAGAGTTAACGTTTAAACTCAACATACTTTTTATATAAGGACGAAATATACCAACAAATGGATGGCATGCGCAATGGGTGCAAGCATATCTAGTGTCATTGCCCAACTGGTCCTGGAAGACTTAGAAGAATCTGTCATGAGTCATTTAGATTTTAATGTACCATTCTTTCTACCGCTATATCGATGACTGTGTCTGTGCTATTCCAACAAATAAAACACCCGAAAATCTTAGATATTTTCAACAGTTACCATCCAAAATTAAAGTTCACTATAGAAATTGAACAAAATAATAAAATAAACTTTCTGGATATCACTTACATCGCATTAACAATACAGTTAAAACCATGTGGTTTACAAAAGAAACATGGTCTTCACGATATCTTAACTACAATTCCCATCATCCATTTTCCCATAAGAAGTCTGTATATTATAAGTCGCGCTGATAAATCTATAAAACTAACAGATCCAGAATACAGACCAACTGCAATAAAAAAAGCAAAAAATGCTCTTCTAAAGAATGCATATCCCGAACATCTAATCGAAACTATTTTCAAATCAAGACTCAATAAATTTTATAACAATACAACTAACAACAAACCCAACAGTATCAAAACCACTTATACAACTCTTCCATATATAAAAGGTTTATCCGAACAACTAACAAATCTTTTAGCCAAGCATAATATAACAGTAGCCCACAAAGGCAACAACCTCTTAAATAAATACTTCACAAAACTTAAACACAAACTCCAAAACTTAAAAAATCACATGTTGTTTACGAGATACCATGTACAAACTGTGAAGGTGTCTATATCGGTCAACCAGTCAACTGCTTCAATCCAGAATTCGTTCTCACAAATACGACAAGAACAACGTCACTGCGCTCACAAAACATGAAAGCGGAAAGAAGCATAAATTTGACTTTGAAAACATTAAAATTTTAAAAACAGAAAAAAACAAAAAGAAAAGGGAGATATACGAATCAATAGAAATAAAAAGAAACACCAACGCAATAAAATGACAAAAAAGATACACAAAACCTAAATAAAATATATTTCAATCTGATTTAAACAATAACAATATAACATCATAAAAAGCTCTTAAGTCATAATATATCTCCACCTTACCTTTTTCAAAACATCAACGATAGCCCATATAAAAATAATTATATACTAATGACAGTAAACAATGAGATATCAGATATCAACTTTTATATGTCAGTCGTTTAATATCTGTGTCACGTTTTACGTTTTGGTAAGTCATATATATATACATTATTTTACAATATCTGTTTGTCCTTATATATATACTCATTTTAGATCTTGACAAAGGCAAGGGTTTCCTGCCGAAACGTTGATAATTGCAATGGAAAATAAAATCTAGTTCCACATGTAATATATCTTTATTGAACCTAACCCAAGAAATATTAATTTTATATTAAAAATAATACGGTTCAAAGAAACTCAAAACTACAATATATTGGCATGGGTGAAAATATGCCTTACTACCGTAGTATTGAATCTAACTACGGACGATCAACCGTTCTACAAATGAAATTATACCAGAAATTACTAGCAAAACAAGCCAACCAAAAAAACCGGAGAATTTTTCTTTTACGCTGTCAAAACTTGTAATTTACTACCAAACTTTTAAACATAAATATAAGCCATATCAATTTTAATTCTGTAAACCTTACACGTAAATTCGAGACAAATGTTTTTAATTTGTTGTGAAACAAGTTTTAAATTTACTAATCACTGATACTGTTATCTCATTAAAAAATCTAAACTGTTCAACTCAATAAAAATGAATCAAATTTAATCAATATACTACACCAGATATTTTTAATACATTTAAGAATACGTGTTTAAAACATGAGTGAATATATTTTTAACAAAACTAAAAATAGGAACACCAAAAAGATTAATAAAATTACTTCTAAAATCAATGATACTGAAAATAAATTAGAAAGATCTTGGGTCGAAAATTTAACTACCGTCGAAATACCTAACGACGTACAAGAGATTTTAAGTTTAGGAGACAACTTTGCAGTTCCTATTCATAATAAAAACGAAATTCCTGTGTCTGATATTATATGTTCGATTGAAAATTCAATTTCTAATTTAAATGAAACTTCACAACATCAAATAAGAACAAAGTGCTGTAATATTTTATCCAATTTTAGAAACAAAAATAAATATTCATTTGAAAATAAAGAATTACATAAAAAAATTCAAAAGACAAAAGCCTTTTGAGGGAAAATCCTAATGTAGTTGTATTAAAGCCTGATAAAACTAACAAAACCGTTATTATGGAATCTAATGATTACGACAATAAAATGAATGATCTTTTAAAAGATGACACCATATATCATAAAACTTAGAAATGATCCTACCAATATCTTCCAAAAAAGAAATAATGCTCTTATTGACAGATGGGACAAAAGTGGATATATATCACCAAATACAGCAAAATCACTTAAGATACACAACGCTATTCCACCAAAAATTTATGGTTTACCTAAAAACACACAAGGAAAACATACCTCTACGTCCTATCGTTTCCTGCATTCAATCACCCTTCGAAAATCTTTCAAAGTTCTTGAAAAACATTATCTCCAATGTCATAAATTAAAATCCTTATTATATTAAAGATTCCAACGATCTTCTTTCTAAAATTAAAAACATTCACGTACCGGATAACTATAAATTAATCTCTTTAGATGTCATTTCACTATACACTAACATCCCAATAAAACTTGCCACTGACATCATTAAAAGAAGTGGAATGACATAAAAGAATACACTAATATCCATTGGAAGAATTCCAATCATCTGTAGAGTTAACGTTAAACTCAACATACTTTTTATATAAGGACGAAATATACCAACAAATGGATGGATGCGCAATGGGTGCAAGCATATTCTAGTGTCAGTTGCCCAACTGGTTCTGGAAGACTTAGAAGAATCTGTCATGAGTCATTTAGATTTTAATGTACCATTCTTCTACCGCTATATCGATGACTGTGTCTGGTGCTATTCCAACAAATAAAACAACCGAAATCCTTAGATATTTTCAACAGTTACCATCCAAAATTAAAAGTTCACTATAGAAATTGAACAAAATAATAAAATAAACTTTCTGGATATCACCTTACATCGCATTAACAATACAGTTTAAACCATGTGGTTTACAAAAGAAACATGGTCTTCACGATATCTTAACTACAATTCCCATCATCCATTTTCCATAAGAAGTCTGTAATTATAAGTCTCGCTGATAAAATCTATAAAACTAACAGATCCAGAATACAGACCAACTGCAATAAAAAAAAGCAAAAAATGCTCTTCTAAAGAATGCATATCCCGAACATCTAATTGAAACTATTTTCAAATCAAGACTCAATAAATTTTATAACAATACAACTAACAACAAACCCAACAGTATCAAAACCACTTATACAACTCTTCCATATATATAAAGGTTTATCCGAACAACTAACAAATCTTTTAGCCAAGCATAATATAACAGTAGCCCACAAAGGCAACAACCTCTTAAATAAATACTTCACAAAACTTAAAACACAAACTCCAAAACTTAAAAAATCACATGTTGTTTACGAGATTACCATGTACAAACTGTGAAGGTGTCTATATCGGTCAAACCAGTCAACTGCTTCAATCCAGAATTCGTTCTCACAAATACGACAAGAACAACGTCACTGCGCTCACAAAACATTGAAAGCGGAAAGAAGCATAAATTTGACTTTGAAAACATTAAAATTTTAAAAACAGAAAAAAACAAAAAGAAAAGGGAGATATACGAATCAATAGAAATAAAAAGAAACACCAACGCAATAAATGACAAAAAAGATACACAAAACCTAAATAAAATATATTTCAATCTGATTTAAACAATAACAATATAACATCATAAAAAGCTCTTAAAGTCATAATATATCTCCACCTTACCTTTTTCAAAAACATCAACGATACGCCCATATAAAAATAATTATATACTAATGACAGTAAACAATGAGATATCAGATATCAACTTTTATATGTCAGTTCGTTTAATATCTGTGTCACGTTTTACGTTTTGGTAAGTCATATATATATACATATTTTACAATATCTGTTTGTCCTTATATATATACTCATTATTAGAATCTTGACAAAGGCAAGGGTTTCCTGCCGAAACGTTGATTAATTGCAATGGAAAATAAAATCTAGTTCCACATGTAATATATCTTTATTGAACCTAACCCAAGAAATATTAATTTTATATTAAAAATAATACGGTTCAAAGAAACTCAAAACTACAATATATATATATATATATATATATATATATATATATATATATATATCGAGAAAAGCAGTACGATCGTCAATCCAATATAAATTAAGGATTAATTACTCAAAGAGTGGTGGGTTTTTCGGTCAAAAGGTGGAGGAAAATACAAAGAAGGCGGCTATTTTATGTATTTATTAAAGACGTTTTGCTTTCTAATCAGCAAGCATCATCAGTTCATCTAAAAAGAACAATATGAAAAACCAAACATTCTTAGAAAAGTTATTACAAGTGTATTACACTCAAAAAGACATGTAGCAGTCAATGATATTAAATATGTAAAGAAGCTTACGACAATGGACATTATAAGATCATGTATAAACAATTAATTCAAACTAGATAAAGTTTACAAATTAACAAACTTAGCACAACAAAAGACCGCGTGGTAATTGTACATGTATATAAAAAAATTATGTAAAAAGTTTAAGTAAAAAACATTAATATTAATATGCAGAGAAATAAAATGATCATATGATGCCCTTCCAACAGTATATTATTAGTTAAATTTAATTTTAACTTTTGATAACATTATTAAATTGATGAAGATTGAAATATATTTAAAAGTATAATGAAATTACCACTCTCTAGCTTCTTAAGTGCTGCAGGTAAATGAAAGCAACAGGTATAAAACACACGCCAACAACGAGAAAAGAAAATTTAACTAATAATATACTGTTGGAAGTGCATCTTATGATCTTTTTAGTTCTCTGTATATTAATATTAATGTTTTTTACTTAAGTTTTTTACATAATTTTTTTATATACATGTACAATTACCACATGGTCTTTTACTGTGCTAAGTTTGTTAATTTGTAAACTTTATCTAGTTCGAATTAATTGTTTATACATGATCTTATACTACAAAGAAGGCGCTACTTTATGTATTTATTAAAGACGTTTTGCTTTCTAATCAGCAAGCATCATCAGTTCATCTAAAAAGAACAATATGGAAACCAAACATTCTTAGAAAAGTTATTACAAGTGTATTACCTCAAAAAGACATGTAGCAGTCAATGATATTAAATATGTAAAGAAGCTTACGACAATGGACATTATAAGATCATGTATAAACAATTAATTCAAACTAGATAAAGTTTACAAATTAACAAACTTAGCACAGTAAAAGACATGTGGTAATTGTACATGTATATAAAAAAATTATGTAAAAAAACTTAAGTAAAAACATTAATATTAATATACAGAGAACTAACAAGATCATAAGATGCACTTCCAACAGTATATTATTAGTTAAATTTCTTTTCTCGTTGTTGGCGTGTGTTTTGTACCTGTTGCTTACATTTACCTGCAGCACAGAAGCTAGAGAGTGGTAATTTCAATATTTATTATATTTCAATCTTCATCAATTTAATAATGTTATCAAAGTAAAAATTAAATTTAACTAATAATATACTGTTGGAAGGGCATCTTATGATCTTTTTAGTTCTCTGCATATTAATATTAATGTTTTTTACTTAAGTTTTTTACATAATTTTTTTTTTATACATGTACAATTATCACACGGTCTTTTGTTGTGCTAAGTTTGTTAATTTGTAAACTGTATCTAGTTTCTATTAATTGTTTATACAACATGATCTTTTAATGTCCATTGTCGTAAGCTTCTTTACATATTTAATACCATTGACTGCTCCAGACAGCCAGTTGAAGGTAACCGGGAACTACCCAATACTAAGGAAGTAGTAAAAAACGGGTGCTTCTACTGTGAGTGTCTTTGATTAAAAGTCAAGCTTTCGCCACATAATTTTGGGCTTCGTCAAAACTTGCTGTAATGGAAAAACATTATTTACAATCATCATAATTAAAGATCTTTAATTATGAGTATTCTAGTTAGTTTCTAATTTTAGTTTATTTTGCAGTCGAATGAGACTTGATTATGATCCTGTTTATAAATTTTATTACATTACTAGCAAATAGCTCTCTATTGTAGTATTTGAAAAATTCGTATATATTTTTTTTTTTTTTTTTTTTTTTTTTTTATTTAAATTAACGTGCATGTGACATCTATGGTCATTAGCACGAGTTACGATTTACATGGTAATATAATATAAATTACAAAATAAAATGTAGTTAACATCTAACATACAGAGAAAATAATAAAAACTTGTAATATAACATTTATATTTTGTTGAGCAGTTGACTATTCTCGAGGAATTTGATGACCTTGTTGATTTCGTCTGTGTTGTTTAGGACCTCTTTGAAGTTAGTACTGATATTGAGCTGTTGGCGTATTTGGCATATAAAGGGCATTCGATAAGTATATGCCTGATTCGGAGAGTCGTATTGCAGTGTTGACATTTTGGTGTGGAGATGATGTCATCAGGTAGCCATGAGTTAGACGGGTATGTCCAATACGCAGTCTCCGTATGATTGCCATAATTTTTTCGAGATAAACTGGGATAGGTAAGACGGTTCACTGTAGGTTTGATTTCATGCAGCGCTGAGGTAACATTATTCCAGTGAATCTGCCACGTAGATAAATTAAGCTTCTTAGTCTGGCTTTCAGATCATTACAAATTTGTATGTTTATAATGGTGTTCGTGGATGATGCGGCTTTTTTGGCAAGGCAATCAGCTTTTTCGTTACCACTAATACCAACATGGGATGGTACCCATATCAGAGTGATAGTTTATATTTTGTTTATAAGAAGCTGATATATGTCATGAATATCTTGGACGATAGGATGTTTGGTGGATATAGCATTAATGGAGTGTTTAGATGAAAGCGAATCGGAGCATATGCTATGTGTGTATTTGTATATCGTTGGCATATTTAAAAGCTTGTAAGATAGCTAGT